GTGAAACCAGGCAATGTATAGTAATGCGCGGGATCGAGATCGTAACTCGCGACACAACTTTCGCGGAAATTTTCGAAAATGTCGGGCAATAACAAGACATCGGTTTTCAAGTACAGATCACTGTACTCGCCGAGCATTTGAATAGAGAATCGCTTCCAAACGTTCGCGGCGTGAGCGTAATCGCTTTCGGATACTATCGCCCGTTAACGAACTGAAAAATGATTCGCGCGGTGGTAAGCGTGTGTCCTGCAATTTTTCGACACAGTCAACATATTCGTACGGAAAGACACCTTTACGAGTTAGTAATTCAAATTCTTCATCCGATAATGTTGAAAATTTGGAACGTACGATTTTTAATTTGTTTCTGCTTAAAAACGACGTCAATTTATCGACGCTTGCGTTTAGAAATTTGAAAGAATCGATGAATCGTAATTTTATGCATTTTCGCGAGTCTGCTCTCTCGACGGTATCTTGAATATGTTTAGTGAACGAAATATATTTTTCTTTGGTTATCGGTAACACATCTACATGTCCTTCGAACTCGGTAGCAAATTCTTTAATTATAAAATGCGCGTCGTAGCCCGATAAATTGTGAAAAACAATCGGAATATAAAATGAATTTTTATAATTAAGATTGCAATTTGCATGTGCTGGACCACGGAATCTACCGGTGAGATGACAATGATCGCGGACCCGCGTATCCGGCGCGAACGATTTCTCGCAAATATGACAACGCGTCGCGCTACGCCTCCAATTGTTCTTTCGACGACATTTCCATGGGTACGTTGGCGGATACTATATTTTTCACTCGATGCGCCAAATCGTTGAGTTGTCGCGCGAACCACGCTATGCAATTTTTATCGCAACGGAACCGATATGATGATAACGTATCGTTGTAACGAACATCGCATGTAGTATCCTATACTAAATACCTTGTGCCGTTGATACGTGTACGACGACGCATTTTCCCTGTCAAGTTCCATCTTCTGTAGAACACACTTCAAGTCAGCGTAGATGATGAATGAGGCGCTCTGCTTATTGCAGTGATTCTCAAATTCGAGCCACTTGTCGTCCACGCTCGGATCGAGCGGAGTCGTTGATCTTCTCGCAGTCCAGTTACGTGCGACTGCAATTTTTCGTTGGTATTGAAGTAGTGCAAGCATCTGAAAAAAAGAAAAAAAATTATAACCATTATCTATTATTTTATTAGTAAGACAGAAAATTATAATAATTTTTCATGTATACTTACTGATCGCAGAAAAATTTCTTGTTCTTTTTCCTACTAATCTGCGAGCTCACGAGACGGGATAGGTTTTTTATCCATGCAAAATGTCCAACACCGTCGTTGCGCGGATCTTGCACGTACAACATGTTGACGTGTTTCTCCTTCTTTTCATTAGTGAGTCGCAGAGGAAGAACCTGTTTATTCTCGATGGTCGTACACGTTAATCGACACCGCGTTCAACCGTTCGAATTTAGAAATGTCTTTTAAAGTCACTGAAAACTCAATGTTCAGTACTGTCATATAATGCGGATAAGACGATTCCCGATCCGTATACTTTTCAGCCGGATACAGCGCGGCGACCACCGATCACGCGAAGCACACATTGTTCGTCGTACGTACACTGATCACCGCTCGTTTCGTCGCGATTTCCCACGGCATTTTGATATGACATCTCGCGCGCATAGGATTTAATTTGTTTACGTTGATAGTCAAATTCTATAGTTCAAAAACTATATGTGACAATGTCCATCCGCTGTCGCATTCCTGGAACTCTTCGAGCGATGCTAGGATAGGCTCGATGACACGCTGCTCGTACCACTCGCAAATCGGTGTATCGGTATATCTCGCTGTTCTTTGTAATTATGCTCTTATGAGCACGTTTATCCTTCGTCGCGAATTCACCGTTGAACATGGTGTTCACTTTTACGCTACCGTGTCTTTCTACAGCGTCTCGTATACGCTCAAACACTATTTCTCTCGCGTCTTCCAAAAACCGCCGCGGCTCAATGTGATTAGAATTTATCACAGCACCTGTCGATATATGGCTTTCAAACGCGGCGTCGATCTCTCGCCAGACGAGAGATCTTTCGTCGCGACCCACGTCCTCGCCACTCGCGTATTCGCCACTAACGTGCACGAAACGTCGCTCCAATTGCAATTTTCACCCGCAAGTCGCGCCATCCTCGCCACCGCGAATTGTCTGTGTTCAACGGCGAGACGCGGACGCTTGGCACGACAAAGTTCTTCGAGCCGCTCGATACACTCGTCGCATCGTTGTAGCCGTGCAATCCT